TCTTTGTTACAAAAAAGCAGTCTTTCTGCTGGTGGTTTAAATCTGGGAAAGTCATGATGATGCCAGTAATGATGGATCATGTGACATGGTGGAAGCGGCAGGGAGTCTGCAATGTGTCCATATTTCCAATTCTGTTGCTTACTAGCTGTGTGAGCTTGGGCAAGTTACTTAACCTCTCTGAGCCTTAATTTCCTCAACTCCAAAATGGGGATATCAGTCTTTATTACTTTAGAATATTGGGAGGATTAAATGGGTTAATACATACAAAGCACTTTGCACACAACAGGTGCCTGGTAAATGGTGACTGCTATCATTAGGGTGGACTTTGCAAGCTGATCTAATCTTGTAATCCAGTTCTCTGAAGGTCAAAGGGATCTTGATCTGTGTCGTCTGCAAGGATCATCAAGCAAAGCAGAGTCGGCCTTTGATCTGAATGTCATGTGGCACGATGATATAAGAAATTTCAAGGCACAGAGCATTCCGGCCAGCGTTTCTGTCCTTGCCTAGAGAACAACAGGGCCAGAGAAACTCGTTTCCTCCCTTCTACGGCTTGTTGGGGCCCTGGTGGCACAGTGGTTAATAGCCCAGCTGCTAACCAAAAGGTCAGCAGTTCGATTCCAACAGCTGCTTCTTGGAAGCCTTATGGGGCAGCGCTACCCTGTCCTGCAGGGTGTCTATGGGTTGGAATTGACTTGACAGCAACTGGTTCAGTTTGTTGTTTTTTTTTAACAGATTGTTAGGTTATCGCCTCATCTCCGATGCCTCTCTGCCTTCACCAACTTCCTAGTGATTTTTGGTAAAACACAAAAAAACAGTATGTTAACTCTTAAAATGTTGTCTTCAATACAGCTATCAGACTAATCTGTTAATAGCTTTATCCAGTCAGATATTAATTGAGTTCCTAGGTGCCGGGGATATAGGTATGAACAAAAGTTTCACAATTTCTGTCACCCTGGACGGAGCCCTTGTGGCGTAGTGGTTAAGAGTTCAGCTGCTAACCAAAAGGTCGGCAGTTCAAATCCCCTAGCCACTCCTTGGAAACCCTATGGGGCAGTTCTCCTCTGTCCTATAGGGTCGCTATGAGTTGGAATCAACTTGATGGCAACGGATTTGGAGTTTATCAAGGGCAGGCAGATGTTAAACAACTTAAATATACAGTTGCCGTTGTAGTAAGTGCTCCAAAGGAAAAGTACAGCATGTCATCAAAGAGAGAACTGAAGAATTTGTGACATCATCTGATTTTCATTTTAAGAGAGCCTTCTGATTGCCTATGTGTAGAATGGATTGGAGCAGGGTGAGAGGAAGGAGAAGCAACTGAGAGCTTGTATACTGATCCAGCCCCAGGGGGTGGCAGTGGAGGTGGGGAGGAGTTCGTGGATCAAGATTGGGAGCAAATTCTCTTCATTTGCCTCAGTTATGATAAAATGTTGACTTGTAGTTTTAATAGCTAATTTTTTTTCTCCTTTATTTGAATAAAAGATGACATCATCATGGAAAATTCTAATGAGTTGTGTGGTTTTCAGTCAGTGGCTTCCCCTCTGTAAAACCAGTAACCACGTGCCATTGAGTCGATTCTGACTCATGGCTACCCCACATGTGTCAGAGTACAATTGTGCTCCATAGGATTTTCGATGGCTGATTTTTTTTTTTTGGAAGTAGATCTCCAGGACTTTCTTCTGAGGTGCCTCTGGGTGAACTTGAACCTCCAGCCTTTTGGTCAGCAGCCAAGCACGTTAACCCTTTGCACCACCCAGGGAATCCTTCCCTCTGTAGGTCTTTTTTTTTTTTTTTTGTAAAATGGTGGTGGTGAGGTGCTGTCAATGGATTCTAAAGTTCTCCCTTGTCCTGTCATGTGGGGACTCCGCGACAAATGGAAAGAATTGACAAATAAGAAATGTTAAGCTTCAAACTAGTAGCAGAAGCATAAGGTTTAAACATACACAGGTCTAGATTTACAATCTTTGAAGAACTCTTGACTCTCTTTCTTCCAGGCCAGCAAAGGTCAGTGAAATTGTAGTCATAACTCACAGCACGGGTTGCATAAATCAGAGTCAAGGTTGCAAGCCTCTCAAACCGGAGCTACAAAGCCAAACCGACCTCTATGCCTAGGCACCGCCCCCAGCTTTAAATGGTGGGAATGTGAGGGGCAGCTGGAGCGTGACTCATCTGCCAACACCTGACAGACACAGGCTGGGTCACAATTATCCTAGAATATCGCATACAAAGAACAGCTGGAACGATTTACACACCTCAGCTTTAAAATTAAATAGCTCAGTTGTCTTGTAGAAATCAGTACTACGGTAAAAATCTAGAAAACAAACCCTGAAATGTCACAGACTAAAAAACTTAGGACCAGAGAGGTCAATTGACCAACCCAAGGTCACACAGATGATTAACAGCAGAGCTACTTAGTCAAGTTCCAAGAACCTGAAGTTAGTAAAAGGAAAACGACAGGAAAAGTACTTTAGGATGATATTGTAAGGGAGTTGCATGATTCTGCTGCAAAATGGAGATACTCAGCCATTAGTTTGGATTCGTGGGTAGTTTGAGGTTCTCCTCAGGAGAATTCCAAGATGATTGATGCTTCATGGCCTGTCCTCTGGTTTCCCATAATTTCCACTGGACAGTTCACCATGAGGACTCCACCATCTTAATCTTAAGGATTCAGAGAAACCAAGACCAGCTCCTTGGTTGGAAACCCTTAATCTGAAGTGTGGTCAGTTTTTAAACAATTGTTTAAAATATAGAATGATATAAATAATATTACACCCAGGTTCCTGCCACCCAGAATTAATGACTGTTAACATTTTCTTCCAAGGTACTTGCAGTACAGTGGCTCACTTTTTTATGGCCTTTCTAGCCATGGTCTTGTAACTTCCACCAAGTGATTGGGTGGGACTATGCAAATAAGTGCTTGTGACCCACCAAGGGGATTTGATAGCTTACTAATAATGCAAATAAGGTGCATGGCACTCTTGTGGGGGTGGGGCCATACAAATAAGGTGCACGGAACCCCTGTAGGGGTGGGACTATGCAAATAAGGTATATGGAACCCTAACGAGGGGATTGGTCAGTTTTGCTGTCCCACTAGGCTTAAAATGAGCCATCACTACCACCAAGAAGAAGAGACAGGAGCAGAGTGCATCCTTTGGACCTGGAGTGCCTGTGCTGAGAACTGCCTAGACCTAGGAGATAGAGAGAGAGAGCTGTAACACCAGAGATGGCGGAAGACAGTGAGAAACAGCAACACAGAAATGGCGGCAGCAGAACTAGGAGACCGGCGTGAGACAGCACAGAGGGCTTCCCAGCCCATGGAGCAAGGTGGTTACAGTGGGCGTGCCGACCCACAGAGCAAGATTGTTGAACACCTTTGTGCAGGAGGCTTCTTGGTGGAGTGGGATGCTCCAGGCACTTATTGGCAGAGCTAAAGAGCTTTGTAACACTTGGCCAAGCAGGGCAGTGGCCAAGGGCTAGAGAAAAGGCCTACCTGCAGGCATGGCTGAGAAGAGGCTGTCCTGATAGAAGAGCTGTATCCTGAGTCATTCCTGATCCTGAATTGTAACCTATTACTTCCCTAAGAAACCCCATAACTGTGAATATGTTCTCTGAGTTCTGTATGGCCATTGCAATGAATTACTGAACCCAGTAGAGAAGTAGAGAGTGCCATGGGAGGGACCATTGGTGTCAGAATTGGTAAAGATGGCAGAGAGAGGATGCATGTCTGACCCGTGCCTCATAGGAATCAGCCTTGGGCGTGGATCTTGAGTCTCCCTCTCCATTGTGAAGTTAATGGTCAGACACCCTTGCCATGCCATTTTTACAGTATTTGAGAACACTTTTTTTCTCTAGAATGGCTCAGGCTTAAGAAACAAGCTGAATGTACCATCTTGTTTGTTTAGCTAGATTTTTTACCAAATTAGAATATTGAAATAGGACAGGAAAAAGAAAATCTTTTTTTTGTTTGTTTGTTACTTGAGTGGACTGTGTAATGAGTTTTGAAAAAATGCCTATCATGTTTTAAATTGCGTTTGCAGTTGTAACTATGTAGGAAGGCATTTCAATTTACATAATCCTTCTTTTTTGCTGGTTTTCACTTCCTGTTAAAACAGGGAATACCCTGTTTTTTTTTGTTTTTTTTTTTTTCCTGGCAGAAAACATCTAGTTTCAAGAAAATCAGAGAGTAAAAGTTAAGTTTACAGACTTCCAGTGGCAGAGATTTAAGGGAACCACTTAACTTTGGAACGTAAGTTCAGAATTTTGTTCTTCAAAACCTTTAAACTTTTCATTTCTTAAGTTCTAGAAACATGTTTGAATTGGGGAGTCAGGAAACTTGAATTCTAGAATCAGTGCTGAAACTAACGTGCCGTGTGCCTCTGGTCTACCGCTTTATGCTTTTGGGATAACTGATTCCATTATCTCCATCTTCATGGTCTTCTAAGTTTATAGTTTACCTTCTGGTACATTGTTGACCAATCTGTCGTGACTTCCTCCGTCCCAGCTAACAGTATCGGTGTTATGGATTGAATTGTGTCCCCCAAAAATGTATGTCAACTTGGCTAGGCCATGATTCCCAGTATTTTGTGATTGTTCACCATTTTGTCATCTGAGGTGATTTCCCTATGTGTTATAAAGCCTACCTCTATGATGTTAATGAGGCAGGATTAGAGGCAGTTATGTTAATGAGGCAGGAAGAAATCTACAGGATTAGGTTGTGTTGTGAGTCAGTCTTGAGATATAGAAGAAAGAAGCGAGCAGAGAGACAGGGGGACCTCATACCTCTAAGAAACAAGAGCCAGGAGAACAGCGCCTCCTTTGGACCTGGGGTCCCTGTGTGGAGAAGCTCCTAGATCAGGGGAAGACTGATGACAAGGACCTTCCCCCAGAGCTGACAGAGAGAGAGAAGGCCTTCCCCTGGAGATGGCACCCTGAATTTGGACTTCCAGCCTCCTAGATTGTGAGAGAATAAATTTCTTTTTGTTAAAACCACCCACTTGTGGTACTGCTGTTACAGCAACACTGGATAACTAAGACAATGAGGAAGACAGAAGTGAAATGATGCTAACAAGCCAGGCTACACTTTATGCATCAAACACACTGCCTGGATTCTGTGCAGGCATCAGGCAGCCATATCTGGACTAGCTGGGCCCCTGAGAGGGTCAAAGCTTCACCACCGTGAATCCTACTGTATGTTGGCTGGAAACATGGACTTTCATGGTTGATAACTTGGTGACAAGAGTTGTGGTTTTCATTCATTTACCAAATGTTGTAAGTATCTACTTGTGTTTGAGGCACTGCTTTTCATTTGAAGAATATTCTAGAAGACAAGTTACTTTAGCAATCCTTTAACTGCTAGACCTCTAAGCTGTCTAAAAACTCAACAGTGTATCTCACTTAAAAATTAAAAACAAAAACACTAAAGCTATCCCTTACACCTGGTGCTACTCTCATGGAATTGAGTCACTGAGTAAGCTGCCTTTAATCCCCAGAGAACATTCGAGGCTGACATTCTGAATTCTTGTGAGAGCGTAGGGTTGGGATTGAGGAAGTAGGTCAGTACTCTGGGCATGAGCACTAGCCACGTGTCTTCTTCCTGGCTCTGTAAAGCAAGAGAAATAACTCTTCTTCAACAGGTGCTGGCAATGTCAGACATAACAGCCCCCGGGAGGAGACACACCACCAGTGGTAGTCAGCGTCCAGAGACGGGAACTTGGCTCTCATGCTACCACTGACCTGAGCCATGACCTTGGACAAATGACTGTTTTCTCATCTGAAAACAGTGACAGCACCAACCCCAAAGATAGTGGTGAAGCTTTAATGCACATGCACATAGTAGGTGCTCAATAAATGCATGTCATACATTATTCAAACAGGAAAATGAAGGACAATATTAATTTTTAGAAAATATTTATTAAAAAACTAAAGTGAATGTGGCAGAAAAACCAAAAACGAAACCAAACCTTTAAATAGCAAGCATATGACACTGGTTATAAAGCTTTCCCAACTCTACTGATCTAGTCCTTCACACCATCTATAGTCAAGGAGGGCTTCCAAGAAGCTGCGTGTAAACAGGTCATCTATACTAGTGGTGAGGAAAAACTCATTACGTGAGAACTGTCATTAGCCAGATGACTTGTTTTCCTGGTCAATCCACATCTTAGGGAGTGTCCATGTGGATATATAGTTCTAGTTTTAATTTCGGGGGCAGGGTAGGTGAAACAGTAGAAAGACAAACAGCATCAGTAGAGGGCAATCTTAAAGCACCTTTAAAATCTGGACCCTTTTCCACAATTTAACCCAGTAATTCTCAAACCGTGGAAACGAATCACCTGATGAGCCTATAAATTCACAGGTGGCCTAGATCTGCTTAAAACAGATGAGCACTCCAGGTGACGCTACGCACATTGGTCAGCATCCAGTTTGAGAAACACTGTTTTAAACGCATTAAAACAATTCCTAAACCAAAAAAACCAAACCCGCTGCCGTCAAGTCGATTCCGACTCATAGCAAAGCAATAGGACAGAGTAGAACTGCCCGATGGGATTTTAAAGGCTATAAAATCCTTACGGAAGTAGACTGCCACATCTTTCTCCCGAGAGGAGGCTGGTGGGTTCCAACTGCTGACCTTTCGGTTGGCAGCCGAGTGCTTTAACCACTGTGCCACCAAGGCTCCTTAAAACAATTCCTACCCACCCAAACAAGATAAAAGTAAAGGAATTTGCTGACAGACACGTGCGTTTGTCAACATCGAAGGACCAACACAGGGAGAAGGGCAAGGAAGAGTCTCAAATCTCTAACATACTGGTCTACAGGAGTCCCGAGCAAGCTGTCAAGGGTTGCTCGGGAAGTAAATAACATTTAATAATAAAGTTTATTTTAGATCACAGAACAGCCTCTAATCCCCATTCACCCTAGTTGATGAAATTTGTTGGGTTGATGCCAATTAAGAGGGGTGCGTGTGTATGTATGACTCATAGTGACCCTGTAGGACAGATCAGAACTGCCCCATAGGGTTTCCAAGGCTGTAAATCTTTACGGAAGCAGACTGCCACATCTTTCTCCTGCAAAGTGGTTTGTGAGTTCAACTGCCGACCTTCTGGTTAGCAGCCAAACGTTTAACCACTGGATCATCAGGGTCACTAGGAGCAGGGATTTTCTCTACGGCAGTGGGTTTGGGTGTATGAGATGTGGGAAGATACTGTTTCAACAAAACCTGGGGCAGTTGTGGATCCTGACTGGTGAAGACGTACTGAATAAAACATCTATAAAAATCTTTATTAAACGCAGAGCACTGTGCCCAAATAATTTCAACAGTTTATGGATTCCACACGAGGCGTCATGGACAACACGTAGAAATAGTCACATTTATCCCAAGGTTCCCATTATCTGCAAAAAGATGTGCAATGGCTGTGTCGAAAACCAGGCAGTCGCTGTTCATGATGGCCGCGGCCACGCCGTCGTGGATGGACCGGGGCGTGGCCTCCCAGGTCAGTCTCCGCCGATTCCCGTTCAACTCCAGTCTGTAGGCAAAGTTCTCGGCCTGCTTGCGGGTGCCGATGAGCAGGACGATGGCAAAGAACTGCTGGTGGCCTTCATACTTTTCTTGTTTCTCCAGCACCAGCATGAAATGGTGGCCGAAACACGACTGCATCATCACCCAGTCGACAGCCCCTGGCAGGTTAATGTCTGTAGCTAGAAAGACGATGTCTTCTCCCTGCAGGGTGGTGATGCTTTTGTGGGCATGCATGAGGTGGGACATCACGGCTTCCAGCGAGCCCTGCCACTTGCAGGAGGCCCCAGGACAAGGGCAGGAGTAGGGACGGTATTCACAGATGTCTTCGTGTTCCGGCTTCTCCGTGTGGTGCAGAGTCAGGGAACAGCCCGTGGTGGCATACTGTAAAGACGGAAAGAAACATGTTGGGCCTTCTCAAAACTTCTACTGGTGTCTACCTCTAAGAGGACCTACCCACTCAGGTTGCCTGGGAATATTTTTCTAAGATACTGTGTCCCATTGCCAAAAGAACTGCTGTTTTTGCCTTTCCCTACCCTGCATTAGGGAATAAATCCCTTGCAAAATGGGCCAAATTCTAATCGTTACAGATGAATTAATTAATCAGTAGCAACAAGCTGGTGCAGAGCACGTTCATCATACAAACGCTAAACTATCGTCATGGAAAGGATGCAGAAGCAAAGACAGCAGCGTCCACTCTGAGGGAGGGTGGTTTAAAGAAAGAAATGCAGCTTGCTCCTCCCCTGCCTCCCGCTTGTCTAAAGCAGATTATAATCTTCAGTAGAAACTGGCAGAAGTAGTTCAATGTATTTACTTTGCCCGTGTTGTTACTGTGTGCCGTTGAGTCGATTCCGACTCATAGCTTATAGGACTTATAGGACAGAGGAGAAGTGCCCCACAGGGTTTCCAAGGAGTGGCTGGTGGATTCGAACTGCTGACCTTTTGGTTAACAGCTGAGCTCTTAACCACTGCACCACCAGGGCTCCACTTTGCCCATAGGAATTGCTGATTCATCTTTTTTTTTTTTAATTTTTTTAACCAGGGACTAATTTTTAAAGGCTGGGTATTAAAAAAAAAAAAAAAATTAATCAGAAGGAAAAACCAATTTACGTATCCATATATATTTACATTTCAAGTTCCTACCTTTGTAAGGTCCTAAAAAGCGAATCCCTATTAACTGTGTTTTTAATTTAGGGTGCGGCTAGGAATACAGAGCCTTCCGATGTTGTGTGTGATGGGTGAAGCATTTCTCCCCAGAGTTTAAAAACACACACACACATACACACACTAAAAATAGCAAGAATTAGCCCTGAACTTGGCAGATTCTCTGGCTGACACAGGCCCTCATTATTTGGGTTAAGAAGATGTTTCAGAATGAGCTGTTTACCACAGCTGCTCAGGAATAAACGCAAGAACTCCATGAGCTTTGGCAAATGGTGTACAGAAAAGTACCATCTGTCCCTCTTCCCCCACCCAAAGTCCCAAACCACTCCATGCTCACAAACTCAAAATTTACAGCAAATATTTATCACCCAGCAAGCATTTCAGAACTTCTTCTTGGGTAACTCAAGTAGGAATATTTATAATCTGAATTATTTGGTTTGTCTTACAAGTCACACATTCAACTCATCCTTCAACCCAAATACAGAGAACAAGGAACCTTCCCAAAGTACACAAATAGAAAAGGCATTACTTAGCATCTGTGTGGACAATGACCTTATGAAAAAACACGCTGCTAAAGACTTGGGTGCTTATTCTGCTTTTTTTAAAACAAGCTGAACGTCCGTCTGCTCCTTCTTTTTTCCATCATAGGTGAGGGCGTGTCTTCATAAGCACTGGTGCTGCTTTTATGCAGGGCTTCGAACTGGTTCATTCTGGTTTGAACCCCTGCTGAGAAAATTTGCTTTTCTAACAAGTTCCTGGGCGATGCTAATGCTGCTGGTTAGGGACCAATTCTGAGAACTGCTAGTAGAGCAGTGGTTCTCAAAATTTATTATATGTAAGAATCACCTAGGGATGTTGTTAAAATGTAGATTCTGATTCAGTACATCTGGGGTGGAAATGCAAATTCTCAGCAGGGTCTGAACTGGTTCAAAGCGCTGCTTTTATGATGACTGGATTATGGATGATCTCTAAAAAGAAAACATCTGAACTTTAACACACACACACACACACACACACACACACACACACCCGTGTCACACTTCATACTTCTGACAGTCTCGGCATTGTTCTAGAATGACACCCCAGTGCAAGATGGGCTTTCTTGTCACCTGAATCAGGGGCTGTCATCCAGGGATCAGACTGAGCACTTGGGGGGACTGTGAATTCCCTAAAATGGTCTGTAAAACTGTCTATGTGTCTTTCAGCAGCAACCTCAAAGCTCACCAGCCCCTGGGATTGTGTTTTCTTGGAAAGCTACTATGATAAAAAACTCAAATACAACCGAAATACAGATGCAGAGGAGGACCGGGGGGTGAAAGGTGACTCCAAGCCAGGGAAGAGGGTTAAGGAAAGCTTATGCAGAAGTGGACTGTGGCAGGCGGAGCCCTGGCTGGCTCCAGCACGGGATAAGTGGAAGGAACCAAACAAAAAGCCCCAAACTAGTTGCTGTCAGGTCCATGGTTACCCCAGTGTCAGAGCAGAACTCCATAGGGTTTTTAAGGCTGTGATCTTTCAGAAGTAGATCTCCAGGCCTTTCTTCTGAGGCATCTCTGGGTGGGTTCGAACTTCCAACCTTTTGGTGAGCAATCCGGTGCTTAACCAGATGCGCCACCCAGGGACTCCTGTGGAGGGAATAATGGGGGATAAAACCTAGAGGACAAGGCAGGTCCAAATTCTGTCAGGGATTTTCCTGACACTTCAGTCTATGTTCAGGGTTTCTCAACCTTGGCACATTTTCAACCCGACAATTCTTAGTTACGGAAGTCTGTGCTGTGCATCGCAGGCTGTTTAGCAGCGGCCTAGCCTCTACCCACTACATGTCAGTAGTAGCGCCGCCCCCAACCCGGTGTAAAAACCAAAAACGCCTCCAAACATGGTCAAATGCCCCCTGGGACGGCAACATGGGTCC